TTAGTTCAGCCAAACAGAAAAATCAGCCAGAGACTTATCTAAGGTGAAAGCGCAGTCTTCCTGCCTTGAAGTAAAAGCCTTGCAACAATGTCACTTGGAGTGCTTTGGCAACACAATCAGACAAAGAAAGGAAGAATGCCATTTCCTGCTTGTGACTCAATCAAAGGGTCTATCTGTTAAACAGTTAAATACCACGCACGAGTTATCATAAAGCTTTAATGTCAGGGGAACTTATCTGGGCTAGAACCGATGAGAGGAGTTGATTGGGCACCTTTTCATTGTTAACCATAAGCCCTCAGTAATGTTGAGAGAATAATAACCCCTCCAACTGCATGGTTTGGGACAGCGCCACTTTAATGCAGCGTATTTGGAGTTAATTTTACAGCACAGTGTGGGGTATTGCAATAGGTGTAGGTGGGTACATTACATTTGGTACAGCTTTAATGCTGCAAGTTTGGGGTTAACACAGCACGGAGTTTATAAATACAGGTTTCTACAATACTCTGAATTCATGCAACAATATGGTGGCACATTTGTGATTCATAGAATATGGTTATGGTTAGACATAGGGGATGGTATAGGGTGAGTGTATTGGGAGGGGGTAAAAAATGTACTGTCTTTTTTTGTCTCCTACTAACAACCCCCTTCAATATGGAGAGCTTGTTAAACTTTTATTATTTCTTATGACCTTTTCTGTGTTACTAAAACCATTTTGGAGTTTATATATCCTTTCTAGAGTATTGCTACTTTGTCACATATCCTCTAGTGATGTGGGGTATCTTTTGAGATTCCAAAGCAGGGAATGTTTCTTTACATGACTGCAAGCTGGATACTTTTGGATTCTATATCATCCCTTCACCTTCTGTATTATTTAGTTACTGCCTTGGGTGGGTCACAGATAACGCCTTTCTTGCTACTTTGTTGCATTCTGTGGCACCCACTGGGAATGAGCCTCTGTCAAGGTACTACCCCAACACACAAGCAAAAGTGATAAATTACAGCACAAATTACCAGACCTTAGAGTGTGACCAGGCTTAACATAAGGAGTATAGGACATAGTTTCTCAACCTGTGGTACACATACCCCAGGGGGCACATGCACAACAACCAGGGTGTATGCCAGGAGCTGGCCAGCTTGCCACCTTAGCCCCTGCCAGGAGGCGGACCGCTGTGCACTAAGACAGAGTAGCCATCTGCTAAGTCGGACGGAATGTAATGTGTTCAAGGGGGCAATGAAGATGAGTGGTGAGGGAGTGCTAATGTTTGTCCTCTTCCAGCACTGGTCCTAGTGTCCTGCAGTTATGCCGGAAGCCAGGTTTTGACAGCTCCGGCATCATTAAACACCAGATGAGGGAGCAGAGCAAGAATACCATAAAAAAAACAATAATTATAATTTGCAGGTTTCTGTCATTGAATGCGTGTGTCTGTTAGTGTGTGTCAAATAAGAGAGAGTGTATTTCAGTGAGTGTGGCTGTCAGTGTGTCTTATCCGTACGTGTGCCTGTCAGTGTTAAATCTGTGAGAGTGTGTGTCTGTCAGTGAATGCATGTGCCAGTGTGTCCGTCTATTAGTGTGTTTTGAAATCAGTGAGTGTGTGTCTGTCAGTGCAAGTGTGTGTGTGTGTGTCAGTTTCCTCTGTGTGTAAATGTGTGTGTCAGTGTTTTCGGTGTGTAAATGTTTCTGTGTGTCAGCATCCACTATTTGAGTGTAATTATTAAATGTGTATGATATTTTCATTTTGTGACTTTTATACTTCAGATTTTTTACTCTTCCTTACATACACAATATTCACATTGTCATATTTATTTGAAAAAAATATTCTTAATCACCTTTAATCAGGCTTGTTCTCCAATATGGGATTAACTTAAATATCAGTGTCTATATCAGTGTCTACACGTTTATATGGAATTTAAATCAATAGAAATTACTTTCTCGAGGCAGGGGTGCTTAGGCTAATTTTTCATACCTCAGGTTGAGAAACACTGGTATAGAATATAGAGTTCTAAGAGAAATAAGATAAACGGAAAAAAGCCAAGGTCAAGGATAGGAGAAGGTATGATAAATCAATAGGGGTAAGGGATTCCAGAGGTAAGATTAGTCGAATAACATAGCCAAGGCAGAACCAGAAAGCACACTGAATTCTATAAAGCACTCTCTGGTTACTAAGACCACGACAGGGCAAGGGAGTAAAGTCATAGAAGGATTTAAATAGGCTCAAGTGTGTAGTGTCTTGTTGGGGAACAATTGGCATTATTAACAATAATTAGATAAATGTGTTTAGTGCACAAACTTTATGGGATATACGGTTTCTTTAAAATGATGAATCCATGCATCCCTAGTGCTCCAATTTCTTTAGATGTGAGATGTTCCATGACTTGGAAAACTGAGAAAATTAAAATTCTACAACTAATCACCGGGGCTTATATATATCTAGTCCCTGCTTAGGTCCTTCTTGTGTTAAAGAAACTCAGCCATTCATATTTCCAAGTTCAACAAACATTATGTGATAATAACACAGAGACCACGGGATCTGCTTGATTATGAACAAAATCTAATTGTACTTTGTCCAAATATATATATATATTAATTTTTTTATTTTTTTATTATGAATTTCACAATTGGATACATTAATAGCGTTATCAGTTATAATCGGAATAATAATACACCAAACCTTAATTGGACGCTTATATTCAGTACAAGTGGTTTACATCCCGTGGAAAAACAGCATTTGGCACTTGACATGCATAAACAACATTGTGAACATATCACGTTTATGAAAAGAAAAATACATGAATGAATAGAAGGTGGAGGTAAGGAGGGGTAGGGGGGGAGAGGGTAGTCGCATATTTGTACTCATCAAAAATGTATATAAATCTTAAATGGTCTAACAATCAACTCCACATGGACCAAAGAGCAGAAAAATTGACAGAAAAATTGGCATTTTACAGAGATGTTCTCTTTACAGACATAGACATTTTTCTTTTTTCAGAGGTTTTCATTTGAATGTTTTATGGACGCAGCTGTCGATAAAATTAAAATAATTTTAATTCTTTTGGTTTGCAGCTCGTCTTGCTGTTGTTTCAGATAACTTGTTCATCTCAACAAGTTGGATGCAGTCATCCAATGTTGGTGCTATATTGTTCCTCCAGTTCCGACTTATAAGCGTTAGTGCTGCAATGTTTATATGATACATGAGGCAGAGTGTGTCTTTGGGTAATTTTAGGGGATAGTTTTGTAGTAATAAAGTTTCCAGATTATGCATTCCTGTCACTATACATCAGGTCTGCCACTTTCTTCCAATAGTTTATTATTTTTGGGCATGCCCACCAAATGTAGGGCATGTCTCCGAGCTCCTCCTGGTATCTCCAGCATTTGTCTGATCTACTAGAATTCATTCGGTGTAAGCACTTTGGCACTAAGTACCATCTATATAAAAAGTTTCTGGATAGCTCTATGTCACATCATGTCATGTTCTGCGGAAATGTCTGGCCTTGGCTTCTGGTATCCAGTACTCTTTTTACGTTTCTTGTTTAGTTTTTCTTGGTTTTCTGGTTTTCTATTCTATGTCTGGTTTTCTTTATGCTGGGTTTTTTGGGTTCATTCCTGTAATCCGTCCCTGGAATTCCCAGTCTCCTGGTTTCCTGTAAATGTTTGTTTTATGTTGCCACACCCGTTTGTTTTCCATCATTCCTTTTTGTTTAAGTGTTCCTGCAGGCAGCTGCTCAAGCCTTCTGCCCTTTCTTGCAGGTAAGTGCTATGTGTGTTTTCTTTGGCTGGTTTAGCTTGCATTAGGCAGAGTAGGACCTGCCAGATATGGGGTACATTGGCATTGTTGGCAGGCTTATGCAATGTATGATCATATAATGTAACTAAATCCCCATACTTTTCATATATAGTACTTGGTTATTTCTCCTCTTGTTTTGCCTATCATATCTTGTCTTGTTTTATTTTGTTACCCCAGTCCATGTACAGTCCTGTCCTGCCCCTGTTTAGTTAATGTTCCCTTTATGTATTGTGTACATGTTCTGGGTTTAGCTTCCTATCCTTCTCTGGTTCTGGGTTCTACTAGTTCTGTCTTGTTTTCATGTTTGGTGACTATCCTAGCCTTGCCTTGTTTCTGTACTGGATACATTCTTGCTGCAGAGCCTCCCTATTCAGCTCCTGGGAGGTCTGCTTGTCATCAAGCTCCTTATCTGCTGCAGAGCCTTCCTTTCCAGTTCCTGGGAGGTCTGCATATCTCCTAGCTCTTGGGATCTACAGTATCTGTATCAGGGTCCTGGTATGTTTCCGCACAAACGCTGGTGCTCAACACCAGAGGGCGTGTGGTTACCCTGCACCAGGCCCTGATAAATCCACTCTCACGCAGAAGACTCCCACTTATCATCAAGGCACTCAGGGGTCCCGGTTTCCGTACCGCCTCCCGTGACACTCTATATGATTAGTGCACAGTGTAAATTTTCTATATGAAGAAAATAATTTTTGGCCAGGTTGTTTCGGCAATCGTGACCTTTAAGTCACGCTGCCAAGCCCAATTAAATGGACCTGTTGCTTGTTTTGTGAGTGCTTTCTCAAAGCTTGTCAGCTGCTGCCCATGTACAGTATGATACGCAGGAATATAGTATCTCAGTAACCACGTTTTCATTTGCAAATACGAAAAGTGTGCTACCCTTGGGAGGTTGTGGGTTTGTTGAAGGTGTGCAAACTCTATAACCATATTGTTCTGGATTAATTGGTAAACGTAATATATGCTATGTCTTTCCCAGACCCAGTAGTTAAAGTTGGGTATCATAGATTGGAGAGTAGTGATAGTCATTGCTGGGGAATAAAAATCATGCGAGCAATATCTATGTCTATGTGCGTTCCAGATATGTAATGTCAAGGCAGTCGTGGGAAGCAAGGATATCATTTTCGGTCAAAGGTGTTTCGGAAGCCACATCAAAGAGGAGAAATGATGACCCTGTGTTACTGTTGACTCAAGACTCACCTATTGTGGTGGGTATCTCTGTGTTTGTGCTATTACTAACAGATTAATATTAGCTGCTAGATAATATTTTATATTCGGTAGGCTCATGCCTCCATTAGAAACGTGGCGATATAGGGTAGATGCAGAGACTCTAGGTCTTTTTTCAGCTCAAATAAATTTGTTGATTAACCTTTGATATTCTACAAAATACTGAGTTGGGATTTTAATCGGGAGAGTTCTGAACAGATATTGATATTTAGGAATAGCTATCATCTTAACAGCGGCCATTTTGCCTGACCATGATATAAATTTATTTTTCCAGGTAGCCAAAAATGTGGTACTGTGAGTTTGTAGGTCCACGTAGTTTGCCTTATACAATTTATTAATTGAAGTCGTAAGTTTTATCACCAGAAATGTTAAGTGATCAGTACTCCAATAATATTGAGGGTTTGTAAGGACGTGTGTGGCACATGGAAACTCATAGCCTGCGTCTTTGTAACGTTTAGCTTATAATAAGAACAGCGACTGTATGACTCTAGATTGGCTGCAAACGCTGACAGGGATTCCCATGGTCTGTGAAAGGTAAGGAGGATGTCAAACGCTAGTGATACAAAACCGCTATTAGCGACTTTTGCCGCTGTGTTGCTATATAACACGTTAATTGCCCTGATAAAGGGTGATGGGGATTGGAATTTTTCTAATGCCACAAGGAGGAAGGGCCAGTGGGGCCTATTAAAAGCTTTTTCAGCGTCAAATGAAAGGAATGCCTCCCTCCCCACAAGCTATGCTTCAAATCAATCACCTTTCTGGTCCCATCTGTTCCCTGCCGACCCTTAACAAAGCCCACCTGGTCATTATGTACAATGGTGGGGATGATATCTTCTAGTCTGTTAGAAAAAAATGTTTGCAAATATTTTAACATCCGTGTTCAGGAGGGCAATCGGTCTTAGGTTTTGTCCCCTATCCAGGGTTTTGCCTGGTTTGGGCAGAGTTGTAACATGTGCCTTCAGCATTTCACTTGCGGTATCTCGAGAAGTTAGCGTGCATTCAAGTTGTGTAAGAGATGTGGTGTGAGAATGGAAGAGAAGGTTTTATAATATTGATTGGATAGCCCATCAGGGCCAGGAGATTTCCCAGATGGGAGAGCTTTTATAGTGGCAAGGATTTCTTCAACTGTGATGGGAGATTGTAGTTGTGCTTGTTGGTCAGTTGTAAGCTTTGGGAGGTCTATTCTAGCTAAAAAGTTAGCAATCTCAGAGTCAGTTGGTATGTATGCACGTCATTTTTAACCCCCTAGTGAGTTGCACCCCGGGTGGACCGGGTGGAGGTATTGGAGTGGCTTTTGCATTGAGTTCTGGAGCCATTCTGGAAATTGTTTGCAGTTGTTTTGTGACTTTTTGGTGCATTTCTCAACCTGTGGAAAGGTAGGGAGCTGAGCTTTGTCGTTTGCATGCCTGTTACTGTGTGTTCTGCATTGTGGGTTGGTTTCCATGCCAGCTCATTTTGACTTTTTTCTGACCTCAAGAACGGATTAATTGGTTTTCAATGCATTCCTATGGGAAGCCGCGTTTCGGTTTACAAATTTTTCGCAATAAGAAACGTCCCGGAGTACGCATTAAATTCGTAAACCGAGGTCCCACTGTATATGTTATATTAATTACAAGTATATATCTCTTTAATAAAAGTGTTTTGTTGGCATTTAAAAAAAGGTTTTGGCTTTGATCTCTTGGATATCTCATGGATATTTTATTATATAAATTTGTACCTTTTTAATAAAAAGAGAAGTTGGCGAAGAGATGGCAGTCATCGCCTCTATACCTGTCAGAGCTATATCTTCTTTGTAGAGTGGCTAATTAACAAGCATTATGGGAAATGTACTAGACAAACATGGACAGTGCCAAGTTTAGTCTTCACTGGTATAGAGGATTGCCATAAAATATAAATACAAAAGGAACTGTTTAAATTGAAATTAGATTATTGGGGTTTTTTTTATTAAAAAAACAAAAGGCCCAAACTGAATTAGTGCTGGCTAACAATTAAAGGTGGTGACATGTCATTCCCACGCAAACCACTCTTCAAACGTTTTTTCTCATCATTGCCTTATTATTATTAATGTGGTTTACAGTCCCGTCGGGACAGGATTTAAAGAACAAAACACCTACGGAATACAAATTGTTTACAGACCGTGTTTCTTTTATTTTTCCTACACTACAAACAATTAACAGATGACATTTGCAGAACATAATTGGTCTCCAGTCCTAAACTTGAAAAAAAACAATGTTTAAATTATGTAAAAATAAACGTGTGTTTTGTTTCTGTTTTCTATTTGTTACCGTGTGTTGTCCAATTGTTTGCTAATTCTTATTCTCATAAGAACAGGTTTAAACCCTGAATGCAAATTTTTTTTTTAAATCTATCTCTTTTATATTGTTTTCTTTGGGTTATATATTCCATGGGGCTCACTATTTATAATTAGTCCATTTTGACGTACCCATGAGTAACCTTCACTTGGGAATTTAGCACTTTGTATTACTGCTGCAATATTTGTCATGCCACCTATGACTAAGTACATGTACGGTATCAAAATACATTAAAGAGAGACGGCCATATACCAGGATTTCTTATGTTTACTTATTTCCTATAGTTAACAATTATATGTTAAAGGAAATTAAATTAAATGGAGAAATTAGCAATGCTGTGTTTACCTCTATCCTCCATCGTGGTTCCATGGCAGCCATTTTTAAAAACTCTGCAATTTCTGTCATTAAACGCAGAGAGTCAGTAGGCAACTTACAATGCATAAAGTGGCTGTTTTAGCATGCATAATTTAGTGATTACATTTTATTAACTATCAAAACTAGTAATATCAACCATAGACCATAAATTAATGATTTTGAATGTGATAGCATCCTTCAGTGAATTACAACTAGATTTGACATCTCTTGCGTAAAATCTATTTCTGTTTAATCATTGTTTGCTCAAATACATCTGATTGATATGTATCAGAGGCCCCAGAGACTCTCGAACTCTATTTCCTTGTCAACCAATTGACAGCCATGCCTTTTGACTACTTCTGCAGAACATGCTGGGATTACTTGAAGAGCAGACATATTTGGCCTTTTATTGGCGTGACAGTGCCTATTAAGGTTTAATTGTCAAAAAGTTCCCACCACAGAGATCGCATACATATATTTTTTTTTCTGAAAATGGAAAATATTTGGTTTTGCATAGCAAAATGTGATTATAATAGTCCATTATCCCAGGGCAATTTGTCTTTATGCTAAGTGCATCTTTAAGTAGCGGAACAAGATTTGTGAATCACGGCCCCCTGGTGTGATCGCAGCACCTGCCAAGTCTATCTGGGAACGGCGTCTTTGAATGGTTGGAACAGAGTAAAGTGCGAGTATGACAGAGAATAACTTACCGGCTCTGGGAAGTTTTACAATAAATAAAGGAAATGCACGTTCTCACTGAAATTACTTCATATCCGTGTTTTATTCTGTCAGTGCCAAGTGAGCGTTCTGCTGCTTAGATTTCTCGATCTCAATGGGTTGAACATAAATAAAAATTTTAAAAAAAAAGGAATTTATGAGAACACTGATAATAGGCATCAACTGTTAGGTGTGCCCTCTAACCATTTGGGCATAGGAGTGATACACCCATAAAGGCAGCCCTGTGCCAAAATGCCAGCAAGTACTCTTGGCATGAGACATTCGATAAGCCCAAACTTGTTGGCTTGTTTTGGGCTCCAGCGAACAGGGGGTCTGCCTCTGGATTACGCCTTTTCACTTAGTCACATGTAAATAAGCCAAAAATAGAATTTATCAAAACAATGAGATCTCAACACTCAACTCTTAGATCTCAGACCTATATGCTAGACATTTTTTTTAATATATTTATATGTATCAGGTTTTTTTCCTGATATCGATTTTACTATATTCCCCCACTTTTCTTCATTACTTTGACAAATGTACCTCGTTGCTATATGCCATCTCTATATGTATAATTTCAAGGTCTCTAAGACAAGAATGAAGTGTTTTTTATATATATATATATATATATATATATATATATATATATATATATATATATATATATATATATATATATATATATATATATATATATATATCTTGTTAGTTATTATACCACCATCACCACCAGGGCCGGACTGGGAAAAAAATTCAGCCTGGGCATTTTTTTATCACAGCGGCCCACTAAGAAGGGGGCGGGGCAGAGAGGGTGTGTTTTGTCATCACTCATGACAAACACGCCCCCTCTCAAAGTGAGCATTTTGGTTCAATGTCTCACCCCCCCTTTCTCCTTTTTCACCCCCTCTCTCCTCTTTTTCACCCCCCCTCCTTTTTCACCCCCCCTCTCCTTTTTCACCCCCCCTTTCTCCTCTTTCACCCCCCTCTCTCACCCCCCCTTTCTCCTTTTTCACCCCCTCTCTCCTCTTTTTTCACCCCACTCCTTTTCACCCCCCCCTTTCTCTACTTTTCACCCCCCCTTCTCCTCTTTCCTTCCCGCTAACACTCTCTCACTTCCCCCTCCTTTCTCACCCCTACTTCCTCTCTTTCACCCCCCTCCCCTTTCTCTCCCCCCCCCACCTTTGCTGTAGCATGGCCGAGCCCAGTATAGTCCGACGGGTACAGAGAGCGGCTGTCTCCTGTATCCAGCCGGACTAACAAGAAGTGCACACTGAGTTAGTGCACACACTGTGTTCCCTTCCTGTTAGTCCGGCCGGGTACAGGAGACAGCTGCTCTCTGTACCCGTCGGACTATACTGGGCTCTGCCACGCTACAGCAAAGGAAGCTGACAGGAGGGAGGGCTGAGCGTTTCCCTCCTGTCAGCCCCCTTTCTCAGGCTGCGCCCGGGCGGTGCGGTCCGCCCTCATGGACGCACCGCCTGGGCAAAGCTGCAGCCGCCTGAGGCTCACTACAGAGCGCTCGGGCGGCTGCAGCATGGGGGGGCCGGGGGGCTGGTCATGGCACCCCCCACCCGGCTGGCACCCGGGGCGGACCGCCCCCTCCGCCCCCCCCTTAGTACGCCACTGGTTTGAAGGACCCAGAATATGTATAGGAGATCTAGTGAGCGTGCGTATATAATGGATTCAGAGTGTATATAGGGATCTAGTGTGTGTATGTGTGTAGATGATCCAGAGTTGGGTAGAGGATCTAGTGTGTGTCTGGAATGAAATGTGTTTAGGGGTGCTGTGTGTGTGTGTGTGTGTGTGTGTGTGTGTGTGTGTGTGTGTGTGTGGTGCTGTGTGTATATTTATATGTGTAAATATATTATATAAATATGTTTGGAAGTATTGTGTATGTGTGTGATGCAGTGTATCGGGGGGTTGTGTGTGTATGTGAGGGGTGCAGTATGTGTGTGTGATGGATCCTGTGTGTGAGGTGTGGGTGCTGTGTGAGGGTGTTGTGTGTGTGAGGGTGCTGTATGTGTGGGTGCTGTATGTGATTGATTTGTGTGAGGGTGCTGTGTGTGTGGGTGTGAGAGTGTTGTGAGTGCTGAGTGTTATGTCTTTGAGAGTGATGTGTGAGAGTGCTGTGTGTGATAGTGCTGTGTATGTGTGAGAGTGCTGTGTTTGTTGTGTGTGAGTGCTGTGTTTGTTGTGTGTGAGAGTGCTGTGTGTGTTATGTGTGTGAGTGCAGAGTGTGTTATGTGTGTGAGTGCAGAGTGTGATGTGTGTGAGTGCAGAGTGTGATGTGTGTGTATGATGTGTGTGAGAGTGCTGTGTATGATGTGTGTGAGAGTGCTGTGTATGATGTGTGTGAGAGTGCAGAGTGTGATGTGTGTGAGAGTGCTGTATATGATGTGTGTGAGAGTGCAGAGTGTGAGAGTGCTGTGTATGATGTGTGTGAGAGTGCTGTGTGAGAGTGATGTGTGTGAGAGTCTGTGTATGATGTGTGTGAGAGTGCTGAGTGTGAGAGTGCTGTGTGAGAGTGCAGAGTGTGATGTGTGAGAGTGCTGTGTATGATGTGTGTGAGAGTGCTGTGTATGATGTGTGTGAGAGTGCTGTGTATGATGTGTGTGAGAGTGCTGTGTATGATGTGTGTGAGAGTGCAGAGTGTGATGTGTGAGAGTGCTGTGTATAAATGTGTGTGTGGGGGGGGGTAAATAAACAAATAAAAAACTATGGGGGGGTAAATAAACAAATTTAAAAAAAAACTAAATAGGCATTAAATCCCCCCTCCCTCTTACCTTTAGCCTGGGAGGGGGGGACAGGCACGTGGTAGCTGGGAGGAGGGGGACCGGCACGGTGACATCATCCCTGGTG